GCAAGTGTTGCCCTCCAGTAGATCTCAAATTAGAGGGCTAAGCACTAAGGAAAGGCAAAACAATGACTTTGCAATAAGAAATTCTTCTAAAATATTCAATTAACTATTTAGCAAGATAGTAAAAAAAATTCACCTTATTTATTGATAAAGGGCATATATCAAATTTGACTTAGATTGAATTTATAACTGCTTCTTTGACAGGTTATTCTCTATTTTCAGTTTGATGGATATCGGCTTATGCCTTAATCTGCCTGGAGATAGTTGGGATTTGGAGAAGTTTGAAGATTGCCATGGAAAATAACTATTTGGCCTCTCTAAACAATATTAAAGAAACTTCTCTAAGTTTTTTACATAATGAGATTTATTGTGTGCTAATAGAACACTGCAAATAAGAAAGCCATTCTAGCATTTTCCCAACATTGTGAAAAGACATCCAAAATAAATCCTCATCTAATCCTTTTTAATTTTTCCTCAACATGTTTTGTAACCTTTCTAAACACAAAGAAACGTAAGCCAAGCCAAGCCACGCAGAGCAGTATTTATAGTCACAATGTAACAGACAATTTGTAAAGCCCTCTCTGAGCCTCAGCTTTTACAACTGAAAAGAAATAAGATAAATTCATGTCTTTTAGGGTTATCCTGAGGGTTAATTGAAAAGATGAAGATGAAATTTGCCCTACTCCTAGGACAGTGTTAGCTTTGCCTGTTTGGAGATGAATATCTTTCTTTTGAAATTACTCAACACAAACTTTTATAGCTCATGGAGATACCTGTCGTGAACTCAGTGTTCCATGTTTCTCTATGAAAAATACTCAGCCCCTTGCACATGAAAGGTCCATCTGCCCTCCTGCCTGCACTGTCCATCCCTCAGTTTGGAGCTCCCTCCCCAAGTGCTCCCACTGCCCACTCAGCAAGCCTGTTCTGAATGAAGACTATAACACATTTGTGCATATTTTGAGTATCTATTTGCATTATTTATTACGCTAAAGATAGGAGTACTGTCCTATATACCTCCAGCTATCTAACAACTATCTACACAGTAGGTTTTCTGGAAGTGTTTAGGAATCAATGGAAAGAAGGAAAGGAAGAGGGAAGGAAAGGAGGGAAAGAAGGAGAAAGAAATGGAAGGTTTAAGCTTGAAGTCTGATATAAAGAAACTATTCTCCCTTTTACAAGCACCCACTTAGAGAATAAAGCAAATTTTGTTTCTTGATTGTATCAGTGGGTATTTTAAGAAATTTGCAGTATATTAGTGTAAAGGAGTTCTGTTCAGCTACCTCTACTTGGCAAAAATGTCTCCTCCTGGACTGTCTTCTAATCATTCTTAGTGCTTATGGTGAGATCTGTGCAGAACTTTAAAGGCTTAGGATTTTTTGAGCCCCCAAATTTCTTCTTCCACTCCTCTAGTAATCCAAAACCCTCCAGGTTTCCTTTTCACGATGCAAACATCTCAGAAGCATCATTGATTCATGCAGCTGCAGTGAAACAACACAGGCCTCCCTCCACTCAGGCAAGTTTGTTTTACCAGATCTTTAACTTTAATGAAATCTTATTGAATAGAACTTAAATGCCGGAGAAAGGTTTTAAAAATTGCAGATGGGGTTGGGAAGGATGTTGGAAAATTCTCTCTTGACCCTGAAAATTTTTCCCATGCCAACACTAAAGTTCAGTTATTTTAAGGGGTGGTAGATTGGGCAGGGTCCCAAACTAGTCTTTATTCTCAGAAAGTACCACTCAGGACTTGAGAAGTGCTCTTCAGGAAAAAGTGGGACCCACGTTGGAGATGCCTGTATCCAGGCATCATATGCCATGGGTCATTTGGTTCCGCACCATGAGTGTATTGGGCCTGGAGCCACAAATCTCCTGGAACACTCAGCCTCCTGTGTACTCCTTGTCCCTGACACTCTTCTGACTTCAATTCCACTGCACCCTATAATCTGGTTCCCAATCTCCTTTTCAGTGTGTGAAATGAATCTGCTTTGAAAAAAATCCACCTAAACAAGGGAACCATTATTAGAACTTTCTGGAATGCAGTTTATTCATTCAGAAAGTATTTGTTGAATATTCACCAAATGCTAGGCTCTCTGGAAAATAAGAAGATCTCAAACATAATTCCTGTCCTTGCAGTACTTGTACTTATAAAAGATCTTACAGTTCAATGAGGATCTTTTTGCATTTATTACTTCATTACTCTCTCACTAAAAGCAAATTCTATTTCCAGTGTGCTATGATTTATGTGTGACAGCAAAAAAAAGGGGGGGGGATTTTCTCTTTCTTCTATCTTTTTGTCAAATGTTTGTTTTATTTAAAGCTAGTGCAATGTCATTTTAGTTAAACCACATTTGCTTTTATACACAATAACCGTCATGTCAAAGTTATTGTATTATTATGAAAGTTAATAAATATGTTAAGTATATTTTCAGAATAAAATGACATAAAATACATTTTTATCTTTCTACTTTCCCTAAGAAAGTATGGCCTTCCAGCAAAGCATTTCATTTCTTTCTTTTAAATTTTTCTCAGGGCTGCTGGCCTATGGCTCTTCTCCCTACACAGAAACAGAAATGCATGCCAAAGACCACCATGGGTGCCCTGGCTGGATGCAGAATTACTCCAGTGTGAACACTCCTGCAGGAGATCTCCTGGTTTCCTGGACATGCTTATTTCCCACTTTCCCTCCAGAGATAGCAAATAATCTGGGGAGGATGCATGTTTGGAAGTCCCTAGAAATGGAAATGCTGTGGGTCACTTAATAATCACATGAGCATAGTATATTGGATGACTTCTTTTAAGTGAAATTCTTTCTATAATATTGTACTAACTGTTTACAATGTGGGAGTAGAATAGCAGTGGACCATTCACGGGGGTGTATTTCCCCCAATATTGATGGACTCACACTGAGTACAAGAATGAGACATGGACTTGCTTTTTCACGCCTGAGTCTTCTCTAACCCAGGGTTATGTATTACAAATTGCAACTCATCTATGGGTGTTTGATGTGTAAATATAAAGAAGCATTGAAAATACCACGCCCCCCCTCCGTCTGTAGCCCTGTGTTGTATTTAAAATAAAACTTTAAAATTTAGTTCACTGGGATCATTATTGGATTGACTAGCACTGTCTAAAATAAATGTTTCTTTTGTCAATTTTTTTCAGTGAACTTGTCAAAACCGAACACAGGGATTTTCAGCAAGCTTTATTCTGTGTGTAAATACAGTGGTATTTATTCACCAAAGGAAACCATTTCATGAAAAACAAATTATTATTGTGCCCACCCTTCTTTTTTTTTCAAAGCTCTCTTAAGGTCTATAAAAATGTTTTGCAGAGCATTTTGTTTCTTAGAAAGATGATGGTGATTCTTTTCTACAGTGATGTAAAAGTAACAGACTCTGATCTATATGACCTCAAGGAAATACAAAGCACAGTTCGACCCCTCCTTGCCACCTCAAACTCAAATCAATATTGCAACTATAACCAAACGTAATCAAATCATTTGGAGTGTTAAGACCCAGAGGATTGAAAAAAGCGCAATAGGGGGTGTAAGCATTCTTTTGATGCACTCAGATTGACTGGGGAGCTGCCTCATCTTAATGCCTCTAATTCAAACTGAAGCCACTCCAAAAGGAGAGAAATGGTATGTTAAGAAGCAGATGACCTTTGAATCTATTTGCACCTCTAGGCAAAAACAGCAGTGAGGCTGCGAGGAGCTGCAGAAGCTGCTTTTTAATAGGAGTCTTGCATCTCCCACACCTGCTTGTAAGATGCCAAAAGCCACAGGAAAGTATTCATAATGTTGGCCTTCTACCATCCAGGCCAAGTCTGCCTCCAAACAAATAAAAAGCGATCTTTTCATTTGCTTTCTTTGTTCCATTTTTCAAGTACAAAATCACCTTATCATCTTGCCATTCTATGGTCTCCCATAATTCCGCCCAGTATCAGGTGTTTTGTAGAAAACACGGGACCAGTTAACCATCAAGTCATTTTGATTAAATTCAATAAATAAGGCAATAAACATAGTTTACGGTTTATTAAAAGTACAATTGATTGCATGCTGAAATATTCAGAGACCTCTGAATAAATCAACTAGTTAGAAAATTCAATATTTTCAGACTGGGAAAATTCATCCTATGTGTATAATGCAAAAATAAAAGCTATCTTCTTGTAGTCTTATATGTACAAATTTATAAAATAAGAGCCAAAAGGCTTCATTGGAAATCCAGAGACATTCTTCATATAGGTGAGACTAACCTGTTTCCCTTAAAAATACCTATACTGGGGCAAGGGCTCACGGGTAGAGCTCTGGCCTCACATACGTGAGGCACTGGGTTCGATCCTCAGCACCATATAAAAATAAACACATAAAAAGATATTGTGTCCATTTTACAACTAAATAAAAATTAAATGCCTATACTTTAGTTCTGAAACTCTCTCACAGTAAAGATTCCAAAACCCCATTCACCTATCCTTATTTCATAAAAACAATCAAGGCATTCTTCTTGGTTAACTTAAACTCTTTTTCCTGTAATTGTCCTTAATTTTTGGAAATGAAGAGAATCTGGGCCAGAGGAAGCATGATGAAAATGCTATGTGTCCACCTAGCCCTCTGTTTCTGTGATCTTCAGCTGTTTTACATAAAGCCCTCTGCCTCTCCACAGGAAGGACTTTTATTAAGGTTACCTGTGACCTAAGCGCTGTTAACCTCAACAGCATCCTTTGAACTCACCACCCCTTTTAGTCTGGTCTCCCTGGTCACTCCACAGTGGGTTCTCTGGTTGTTTCTTCTTATTTACTTTCATTTTTTCCATCCTTGCTCCCCAGTGGACACAAGTGTTCAGTCCCCATCTTTTCTCTGCTTTCCTTAGATTATATCACCACCTCCAGTGGCTTCATCAACAAGTTGCTACTACCTCGTGGATTGATATGTTTGGCTTTAACTTCACACGTTTCCTGTTGCCTACCGGAAGTGCCAAGAGTCTAACCAGAACCTCACACCTAACAAATTCCCCTTCCCTTCTAAACTTGCTTTGTCTTGATTCCTGGTACCACTTTCCACCTTGTTGCCAAGACAGGAGTCTAGGATCACCTCCAGCATCTCCTATGTCCTCACTGTCTACATGGATTGTTATTCAGGTTACACTGATTAGGTTCCTAAGATGCCTCTCAACATATCTGCTCTTCTCTTTCCGCTGCCAATGACTGGTCACCTCATCATCATTTCCTAAACCCATTCACTCTCCCTGCATGTATGTCACAGAGATCTTTTAAAATTCACCTTGCAGAAGAAAAACTGAACACAGAAAATATCTTGATGGCTCATTTTTGCCAAAAGACACACAGATTCTACTAACCTGAACACGTGAGACCTACTGGACATTGCAGCAGATGCCATGGCATATGGTGTGTCTGCAAGGCACCATACTGGGAGTTGGGGAAAACGGGTTCTCATCCATAAGTTTTCTCTCCAGGCCTAGGCTTTGTATCTGTAAATGAGAGTGTAAAATTGGGAGATCTCTAAGGGCTTTTCAGTATCTGGCATCTTTTTCAAAAGAACAGTTAAATACAGTAAGATAATGCCAATAGACTGCTTCAGGATATCATCACAGATACTGGGAGCTTAATTCATATCTTTAATTCTATCAACAGATAAAGGTCTACTAGGTGCAATCCAGGGGATAAGTAAAAGCAGAAATCAGTTCTAATTGCCTAAGAATTTTTTATCTAGTTGTGAGAAAAACAGATTGGGTTGTTACCCAAGATATAAAACATCTATAGTCTGTACTATTTACATAAAAAATGAATCAATAAATAGGACAGATCAATCTTTCATGCAGAATAATTCTAAATACTGCATGTACATACTTTCCCTCATGTAGATGGAGAATAACTCTTGTGACTTACTTCCAAAGAGCACAGCCTGACAAGATGCAGGGAAAGAGTAAGTTGACAGTGGAGAAAACTGACAAAGCTACTTCAGCCAGATGATCAAGGTTAACATCAGCAAAGATAAGTCACTTTTAATATAAAGTGATGAAAATGGCATTTCATTTCCATGGTCTTCTTCCCCAAACCTACAACCCTAGTCTCACCATTTAAATAGCAGGAAAATCCAATTAAGGAAAGCTATAAAATACCTTACTAGTTAGTACTTCTCAAAACTATCAAGGTGACAGAAAACTGGGGAACTCTGGGGAGCTGTCAGAATCAAGAGGAGCCTAAGGAGATACGAGTAGATGTAAAGTGGAATCTGGATGAGATCTGGAAAAGAAAAAAGCCATCTGATAAAAAATTTTTTAAAATATTAGCAAATTTCAAATATGCAGTATTTCATGATTGACTATAGTCTTCAGCCTAATGTCAGGAGATATTAGTTCTCCATTCCTCCTATAACTTCAAGTTTATACCCTTTGACTAATGTCTCCCTTTTAGCAATAAATAGATCTGTTCTCCTAACAAAGAATAGATCTCAAGTATTCTCAACACACACAAATAGTTACCAGATGAAGTGATGGACATGTTAGCTTGATTGTGGTAATCCTTTCACAATATATATCAAGATGCTACTTTGTATACCTTGAATTTATATAAATTATGTGCCAATCATCATACTACAATAAGAAACCAAAAAATACAGAAAAAAATAATATATTAGACTCTTGTTAATAAAAATGCAGTAATATTGGTTCACTAACAGCAAGGAATATATTAATATACCATATAAGCTTATTAATATGATAATAGTAGCAGAAATCGAATGCAGGATATATGTCTTTTTTTTTTTTAACCAGCTCAACTGGTTAAAAAAAAAACTGGTTTACTCAAATGTAAAACTATGCTAAAGTAAAAGTTTCATTTTAAAAGTAAAACATTTTTCATTCATTCAATGGAATTTTTTTAATGTTCATGTTTTTATAATCACTTTGCCAGATACTGAGTACCAAGAGAAAATGAAGGATGCATATGGAACATAATGCAAAATTTAAACTGTTAACTGAATGCAATGGTAGTCAAGAGCAAGGTGAAGTTGCTTCTGGCTGGGTGTTAGAGCAGAATGCTGGAGAGGAAGGAATTGAGAGAGGCTACATCTACTTTACAATGTATATCTGACTTTTACTTAAGCCTACAAGGCAGAGACACTTCCCTTGGAGCAGGGAAGAAATAAAAGTAGAATAATAAAACATAACAAAATTTGCACAGATCATGCAAGTGAGTAAACAATATCATTTTCCTCTGTAAAATTGCCCACCAGCTAAAACATGACTCAATTCACAAATGATTAAAATCAATGTTATTTCCTGAAAGATTTTTTCCCCCCAGAAAAAGTCCTAACTCCCAGAGAAATGGTTTTTGGAAGTGAGCCTTTAGGAATTAGGTTTAGATGGGGTCAGGAAAGCAGAGATCTCATAATGGAATTGGTGTCCTTGTAGGAAGAAAAGACCAGATCTCTTTCTCCTCCATGTGAGGACACAGCAAGAAAGCATCTGTCCACAAACCAGGAAAAGGACCATACCAAGAACCTGACCATACTGGAACCCTGATCTTGGGCTTCTCAGCCTTTAGAACTTCAGAAAGTAAGTGTTGTTTAAGACACTCAGTCTATGATGTTTTATTATAGCAGCCCAAGCTTACCAAGACTGTCAGGTAGCTGCTAATGTACCACACACAGCACAAATTTCTGTTACAAATGGCTTGGTTTGTAAGTCAGTAGAACTTGAGAAGAAAAATTTTTTCCTCACTGAAAACCTTCCAACTCATACCCATGTGAGAACATGGCCCAAACATTCTCCCCAAACAAAATCATAGTGTTTTTCACTGCTTTCAAAGAAGGTAAGACAATTAGATGGGAATCATGTTTGCTATATAGCCAGTCCTGGAAGTGGGGGATCAACCACTATGTGCCCAATATTCCTAATTATCAAGTAGAAGACTAGGATGAGAACCTGCTTCTCTTAACTCTGTTTTTTAATAAAATTATTTAACACATTTATTCCCCTTTCTTCTTCAATAACATCAGCTCAGCTGGTCTACCATCAATCCCATCCTGAACAGAGGCAAAATAAGAAGTGTTGATAGAGAAAGTTTTAAGAATTAGTAACACTAGGAGATCAAGCCTTCAGTCATAATGGGACATCAGATTTTGGGAAGTGTAAAGACAGATCATGTCAGATCTGCCTAAAGAGGTAAATAAAAATGTTGTCCACCCACTCAACACAATTGCCTGAGAGTGGGTAAATTTGGGCTAAATGAAGTTTGTCATCAAAATCTACATCAATTCAATCTGACACAGAAAATTTACAAGCATATATATGGCAATATTTGAAGGAAATTGGGATGAAAACACTGGACTAGATGATGCTGAGGACCACTCAAGCTTCTCAGGGGGAGAACCACCTGAAACCAGAGAAAGTGAGAGCCCCATTTAAGCCAATAAGAGTTGAAACAGGCTTCCAGGTCCTACAGAAAAACTTAAATACCAAACCAGAAACTGGCATTTAAGTAGACCAACAAAACAGGCATTATTAGGGAAAGACTAAGCTTTCATGGAGATGTAGCTGTGACTTTGCTTCAATTACCAAAAATATTAGACTTCTTAAACATATCTAAGTCTAGACCCTGTCCATGGCTGGACAAGGACTTTGTATCTATTTTTTGGTCTGTTTAGCACCAGACCAATTTCTGGTAGGGTCAAACAAACCTGAAGAAATGTCATCTTCTGTCCTCAGTTGGTCAAAGCCAGAGAGATCAGGGCTGACCAACAGGTCTGCAGACACAGAATGGTGGGTCCTGAGTAGGCACAGTGACTTAACACTGAGAGATTCTGTGGCCATTCTAAATCTGTAGCTTTTCCCAAGTGCCTACCTGGATGAGAGCTACATGAAATGAATATACAGTAGGATTCTAGAAAACAGAGATAGAACATAGATTTTCAAATAATGAATGTCCTGAGTCTGTCTTGCTGGAAGAAGAATATTGTCTGTAAAACAGTCCTACAAGAAGCAAAGGGGGGAAATTAATGTCTTTCATCACATAAAGGGAGATACAGAAAATTGGGACAGGATACATAGCTGCACTCTAATTTTGGTAAAACAGAGCCTAGTTGTTTAGAGCATTCGTTTAAAAATTGCCCTCAAGGAAAAAAGAAAGAAAGAAAGAAAGAAAGAAAGAAAGAAAGAAAGAAAGAAAGAGAGAG